TTCCAACTGATTCCAGCTGTTTCCGGTGGATTCCAACTAATTCCAGCTGATTCCAGCTGTTTCCAGTGGATTCCAACTGATTCCAGCTGTTTCCGGTGGATTCCAACTAATTCCAGCTGATTCCAGCTGATCCTAGTGGATTAAGGCTGATTATCACACTATGCTAGTTAGGTTAATTAGGTTTATTTTTAACAGTAAATCTTCTTTTAGGATGTTTTTAATCTGATTTCAGTGCATTTAAACTCCACTAAGATAACTTTCTTAAACTTATATAGTTTTTATTTTAGTTTATCATGCTGTAGCCTGTAGCTAACTTAGCCTAGCTAATCCTAATTTACTCCATCTTGGAGTAAATATCTTTGTTAATTTTAGCTTGGTTTATTTTCTTTTTATTTAATTAAACTTCACTCTGTGCTAGCTTAGCTTAGCTTAGCTTGGTTTAGCTACTCACAGAATTGGCTAGCCTATCTGATAGCGTAGCCTGTTTGAGCTACGCTAAGCTAATCTACCAACTGTGTTTGTTCTTTTCTCAGAAACACCTGTAGATAGAAACTAACAGTGATGCTGATGATAACATTTATAACCCATGAGACGTAACTTTGTTTTCAGGGTACGGCTAGTATTTGTCTCCAGTGAGGATGGTTTGAAGGTCGGGTCTCCATGACGGTTTGGTACCTGGTTGAAGAACTCCTGCAGCAGGCAGTCCAACCAGGGCTCGGCCACCTCCATGGGCCGCGCCTCGTTGGAGATGTCGCTCACTTTGATCAGGACCATCATGAGCTGCTCAACAAGAAGAAAACAGCTGGAATTTAAACAGGACTTTTACTGAAAACCTGTTTTAATTTTTCTCATGTTTTCATTTATCTTTGACCCACAGCTGAGTTTGGATCTAAACGCTTAATACGTTTTTAATGCAATTATCTGGATGCTCAACATCAATCCACTTAAATCAAACCATCTTTATCAGAAATCATTTAGTTCTAGTTTGCATGATTGGTTCATAAACTAAAGGCATAAATGCATATTGACTATGGTTCTGCTAGTCTGACCGGGTATGATCATCTGACAGAACACCGGCTTTCAGCTCCGTCTCTGTGTCCAACAGGACGTCCCATCGAGCTCTGAGACGGATTTCTGTCCCGTCTGAGGTTCTTCTCACCAGGTCTTTGTGCTCCTTGTTGGAGAAGTCGAACCCATGCAGGATGGACTTGAACTTGTTGAGGATCTCGTTGTGCCTCGTCATGTCGGTGGCCAGAATGCATCTGCAAATAAAACAGAACCTAAAAGTTGTGCTTCCTGGAGAACCTGACATGGAGTCCCTGAAGGAGATCCTCTCACTTGATTATTCCCTCCCTGATCCGTTTGTACTGATCTGAGGAAAGGTTCCTGAAGATGTTGCTTTCTTTCTGGAGAACAGAGAATAATCCAGTTACTGATGCTGTGGATGCATGTTTAAATCAAATCTGAACATTTTCACAGCTAATGGAGAGAAGCTGTCCTCACCTTCTGCAGGATCTCAAAAGCTACAGCGCAGTGGTGGTTTTCCAGGGGAGAGATGTCATTGTACCGCAGAGCCAGTTCAGTCCGCGCATTTATCTGAAAGGGCAGAGATCTTCATTCAAACTGTGGTCTGCAGCTTTAGCGTCTGATGATGCAGGTCTGCAGCTTTAGCATCTGAAGAAGCAGGTCTGCAGCTTTGGCAGGACGTTGGTGAAGCCTGATGTTGGCCGTTCTGTTTGACGACATCAGGCTTCGGTCACCAGGAGAACGTCCTGAACCCTCTAAGATGGAGGTACCTGACCTCTGTCCGACCCGTCTGCTCCGCCCACCTGGTAGGCGT